GCAGATTTGAGTTTTACCCTAACATATCACTCGTCCCCAATGCTAGCTCTGGACCTAGTGTAGATGTTTTTTGTTTAGTATTCCCACCTTTGTTTTTAATAGTTAGCTCTTTGGACATTACAGTAGTTATTCGTTAGCGTTTACTCCATGAACATTGTTTCCTCATCTAACTGCTAACTATCAAAATGTGTTTCATCCATCGACATAAATATATCCCAATGTTTTTCTCGCGCTGTAATGAACAAGATGGGTCATCAAAGTAAGAGAATGTTATTAAAAAGTGGAACTCATTATAATTGAACGATGGAAAATTTTGACCAAAGCCGTAGGAGAAAACCGTTTTTGATAGGGAAACACATTTTGACACAACACCTGCCCTGACTGGCGCGTCAGCTAGCTTTCAATCTGTTGGTATGTTTCTGAAAATATTAATGCTATGTTAAGTGAGTGTAATCCAGTAGTAATTTCCCCAACAAAATAACAATTTCTATTTTTGCTCAATTCCTGCCTCCTTCCATTTCATTTTGCACTTGCATTATTTCTTTTTGTAATCCTGTCAAACCTAGCCGTTGGTCTTTAAACATAATGAGCCTAACTTACTAATACTGAGTCTGGGGTTACATAAGCAGTAACAAAACAAAAACAGTTTCTGTTTCTAAGTCTCAGCAATGAGTAAGGTTGTATTTCTCGTGTAAGCGAACTAACATTTGTTTTCTGTGAAATGCGCGAAATGTTGTATTACACAGTCTGTGGTACCATGATGCAGCACAATTCACTGTTGCATGTTAAACCACAGAAGATGTAGAGGAAAATGAATGTAATGGCTGAGGTGGAGGACCTGTAATGACACCAGAAAATAAGAAAATGTGTAAAAGCTTTATTAAAAGTTTAGTCCTGAAATTCTCATGGTAATCCAGGGAAGCAGGTTGGTGCATGGTCAGGGAACAGGCGTGGGTCAGGGCCAGATAAACAGCAGGTTCCATCCCAGCTCCAACCAGAGAGTGCTGCTGTTGTGTCCTTGGGCAAGACACTTAACCAACTTTGCCTGCTGTTGGTGGTCGGAGGGACCGGTGGTGCCAGTGTTCAGCAGGCCCGCCTCTGTCAGTGTGCCCCAGGGCAGCTGTAGCTACTATCTGGCTTATCACCACTGTAAGCATGTGAAAAGGGTGTGGCTGTTGTGTAAAGTGCTTTGTAGGCCTTGGACTTGATAAATTTCAATAAATGTGCAAGCCAATTACAATTTTTTTCAATTTGTAGGTGTTTCCCATTTGCTGTATAACCAAATACAACTTTTTCTGTGTTTTTTGTTGTATTTCTTTAGACTGGTTCCATCCGAGAAGTTACGAGAAACCTTATGGATTTACTGAATGCTCATCTACAAGCAGAGGGCCCGCAACAAACACCAACTGTGCCACAGCGCACAACACCAGCGACAACACCTTAACAGACTATCCCTCGGTCTACAGTTCATCAAGAAATGTCAAGGTAAGTTAAGTGTAGAAATGTAAATATTTGACATCTGCATTGGTCTATTCAGTGGTTTGAAATTAAATTATTCCAATGATGCTTTATTATTCATCTTAGAAAGAGGCTTTCTGCAATTGACTGTATTTTTTTTTTTACATAGTGAAATTAAATTCTGAAATAATGTAAGCAGTGTAGTATAGGCTACAGCTAGGGCTGGGCAATATATAGATATTTTAAAATTATAAATATAATTTTAAACGAGAAACAAGATGACTTTGTATTGATATAACTAGTCAAGCCACATAAGCTAGCAACTAGCTTGCTCCGTCTGTAAGCGGTCATTTCATGTATTCTCACAAATCTGCTCAATCAGAAAACCTCTGGGTCAATGTTCTGCCCTAAACTTTGCATTTGGCTTCATGGTTTTTAATTATTTGGGGATATTCGTTCATGGTTCATCAAGCCTGTTCACCGTGGTTACCAACGGAGTTCTGTTTACCCCTCCCTCCCTCGTGTAATTGGGAAACCACTACAGAGAGCCGGAGTGGCCAAATTACCTCAAACATGTTGTAATGGCTTCAACTGTAAACGTTAGGGTTAACATTTAATTTTGAAGGTGAGTTCAGCGCTAAAAGTTTTTCTGGTTCCGTTTTTTGATGCTTTGCTATGGTCGGGGCTCAGCCACGTGAGTTCGGAATAGAACGGGTGGTTTCTTGTTCACATGTGATTCCCAGGGCTTCTCAGGAATGCGGAAATCCCCGAGCATGTGGGCGGCGGTAAAGACGCGCGGAAGAAGTCTGTGGTGTCCGCCTATGCTAAACAATAATTCCTCATCAAACCGCTGCACCAACACACACTGCGCTTCTCTTATAATCTGCTCTCCTCTAATCCTTCCTACTTCAGCGCTGTAGTGTCCTCCGCTGCAGACGTGTCCTTATAACCGCTGCTACACACACACACACTGCTGTCCTCCTCTGCTGCGGAGCGGGAGACAGCAGCTCAGTGCTTCATGTGGGCTAAACAGCAACCAGGATGAAAAGTAATCGCATATGCGGAAACCCCCCGGTGTTTGATCCAACTCCCCAATAGGAGGCGGTAGGTGTGAGTTTCAGCTGCCAATCAGTCCATAGTGTCTGCTCGGCACCAGCCGGACCTCCGAGGGAAGTAGTCTGGAAAAAAAAGTCTCCTTAGAACGAAATACAATAACTGAATAATCTCTGAGGCATCTATCACCCCTTAAAAATGTGCAAAGTGGTTTAGTCCACACCAGCAGCCAGGGGCTGCACAGCCGCATGTACAACTATGAGACATCGCAGATGCCGAAAGTCAGAGCTGGAGGCAGGAGAGTCAGTCATGTCTTTTCCCAAGAAAGGGAAATCTGGCTTCCAGAAAAGAAAAGAAAAGAAAAGAAAAGAAAAGAAAAGAAAAGAAAAGAAGGAGAAGGAGAAACAGTTAATTGAACAGAAGCAAGTACTGACTAGGTTCTTCAAGAAGGAAGGTGAGCAGCAGCAGCAGAACACAGTTTAAGCTGATATTAGCTAGCTCTCAGAAACTGCATTCATGTTAGGTGTTCAGTGTTAAACGCCTTTAGTTTCACCATCAAGATCAAATATATATTAATTAGTGTTATCAGCGAAAACACAAATTAATATATACATATTAATCCGAATTATTATCGCGGGCGGCCGGCGCCAATTAATTCGCGGACCTCGCAGTAAAAACAGGTTCACTCTGTGTGGATATTTCAGCTCCTTCCCAGTCATGGACCAGGACAAACTTGGTATCGATGGATTCGTGGTAATCTCAGGAATGAGAAGCTGCCACTGTTTTTTGTATAGCATGATGACACTGGTGTTAGAGGATTGTTATTGACTTGGTTAGATATTTTAAGCCTATTTTAAATTTCTTTATATTTGATCTTGAAAACGGACAATCTCATAATTTGGCTGATAATGCAGGGATTATAAAATTTAGAGTACATTACATTCACAGAGAGAACCTGGTTTATTTCATGTCATATGTATTTAATATATCAATATTTATCAGCAAAGCTTAACATCATGAACCATGACAGACATGACTGAAGAGCAGATGAAGATATCATGCCAGGCACTGATGAGAAAATATTACAAGGATCTCACAGCTGAATTTGAGAATGAGATGCTACATCTGAGAACAATATATGGTGCCACATTCCCACACATTTGGTCTCCTCTGCTTAATGCCATCTACAGGATGCAATTACAGAGCATTTTTGGAGAAGTTTGTATTGGACTGAGGATATTTTGCACACTACCTGTGACTGTTGCTGGGGGTGAACGAGCTTTTAGTAAACTGAAACTGGTGAAAAATTATTTGAGATCAACAATGTCCCAGGATTGACTGAACAGCCTAGCTCTTCTTTCTATTGAAAGCCAATTAGCCAAAGGATTGGACTTTAAAGATCTCATAAGTGATTTTGCTAACATGAAGACCCGTCAGAAAATAAATTCCAGGATTTTTGTTTGAACACATTGTTGGCAAATAAAAATAATTATATGTGAAGTCTGGGCATTTCACTTTTATTATGCTGGCATTTGTATTTGCTCAATATAGAGGTTAAACTAAGATCATATTTATTATCTTGTCTTATAGCATGGCAAAAAATGTGTAAGAGAGATATTAAGTAATTGAGCATGGGGGCCCACCTAGAAGACTTGTACCTAGGGCCCAGAATTTGGTGCTACGCCCCTGCTTGTTGATATATATATATATATATATATATATATATATATATATATATATATATATATATATATATATATATATATATATATATATACGTGTGTGTAAAACTCTGGCTGTGGTAGGCTAAAATAACCAGTGTGCAGAAAAGTTATTTATAGATCTGGAACTGGCAAACAAAACAGTGATTGATAGATATCAATGCAGCTCCCAGAAAAGCTTTTCTGTTAGGCTACATGAATAAATCTCCACATGAAAGCTGTGATGGATGATTGTAATTTTACCACAATGTATCAACTATCAAAAGGGTAAACAGTAGCACAATCATTTCTAACATTGTTTTAACAAACCGACGATGACAAATGCAATTGAAAACAAATGCCAATCCCTGTTTTAACATGTTTTTTTCGACCAAGCACAAGAGAAATGTTATTATTTTTCATGCTTACAATCTTACAAGCTTGGATGCACAAATATGTTTTGTTATATAGAAAACAGCACAGCAAATTAGACATGTAAATGTAATAAAAGGGGAAAGCACAATGGCTCCATGGGACCAATCTCTTATCTTATCAGTTACTTTTAAAGCTAAATCCCATAAAATCAAAAGTAAAAAACAATTTGTGGTTATGCTTTACCTTTAGTTTTCTGGGTTTCCTGTCTGGCAAAACAAGGTTAATAAAGCTAAAAGAAAAATATATATACACCATTCACATCAGCAAAAGCTGACATTTGAGGTTATCTTTAGCAAATTCATAAATGCAGTCAAGGATTACATGGATCTCAGTAACTCAGACAATGAAGAGCAATGTGGTTTCAATGGTAGTTTAATCTTAACATTCAACAAAAGCATCATTTGTCACATAACCATGTTTTTAAAATCTAGGACCTATACAAGTGAGTGAATACAGTCATTTTAATGTCAATAACTAAAACTGAGGTGTTTTATTCTGTTCACAATGAAAAACCTGGTTTTAAGAATCTGGAGGATAGGGTCAGAGAGAGGGTGGGGCATTAAGGCACACAAAGGGTTGAAACGGAGCAGAAAAGCTGCAAATGAATGTTTTGACAAAAGGAGATTTCACAGATTGCTCTCATGAAAAATTAAGAGAGACACATGGAAAATTAACGATTTATTTAAAAAAGGTACTAGATAGATGGAATTGAAAATCCATAATGCTGGCAGGTAAGAATAACACTGACCCCCAAAAGAAAACAAGGAGCTGTAAATCCTCTGCAAAAGTGTTGGAATATTTTGTATCTGCTGTAAACAAAGTAATAAAGTATAAAGTAAACAGTACAGTAGTAGTTACATATACTCATTTTATGCTTTAATGTAATAGTTATTGGTTATTCAGGAGTTAAAATGTTTTAAGCAGCTGAGATGTGAGTAATCCATTTAAAATCACAATCTGTCCCAAAGCTGATCAAAGGCATCACTTCAGATGAGTTACAATAGAACATGTTCACTTTCAACCTGGAGCTGTTCCTTTGGTCACCAACTAAAAGGCACTCTTTCAAACATCCATTAAATAAAGTCAGTCATGAAACCTAAATCACTGGTGATCTTTTAACAGTTTCATGTATTCACTTATCTTTTAACCTTCGTTCCCAATGCAGTTCATCCAGAGGCTAGCATTGTCTCTATTGCATGACTTTGGGTTAAACTATACATTTTTAAGAGCAGGGAAAATCACAAGGACACTTGTTGATATTTCAGTTTCACAATCAGCATTGGACTATGATTGTTGTAGGAAGTAATCCACACTAAAAGAACTGTGGCATCATTATAAGGCCTCTATTGTTTAAGACAGCTTAAAATGTTGAGATATTTGTTTAACACAGTTTAAATAAAATATGTGATGTTTGCTAATACAGCATCATTTCCTTTTGGAAGAAAACAAACTTTGATTTTATGTACTTTTTCTGGCCTACATGCAATTAAAATGGTCAAGTTTTCAAAAGCAGATGATGAAAATCTTGAGACAATTTCATGAAAAACAACAAGCACACCCATGCAAATGCTTGCAGCATTGTGATTCTGTTTAAGGCAAATGCAGTGTTTTACTGCTCAGGGGTAGTAAAAGGCCGTTGCCTGCTGGTGGTGGTCAGAGGGGACCCGTGGCGCCAGTGCTCGGCAGCCTCGCCTCTGTCAGTGCATCTCAGGGCAGCTGTGGCTACATCATAGCACATCACCAGCAGGGTGTGAATGTGTGTGTGAATGGGTGAATGACCAATTGTGTTGTAAAGCGCCTTGGGGGGGTTCTAGGACTCTAGAAGGTGCTATATCGAATACAGACCGTTTGTTTGCCATTTGATCTGACTTTTGTTACAGGACTGTAAGCACATTACAAACATTTGAAAATAATGGACTAACAGTTGGAACTGCAGCAGTAACATACCTCTTGTAGGACTGAACAGCAGTACTGCATAGTTTATTTCACTGTGAAATCCTTGTTCAGATGATGTAACAGAGCATCCCCATTTACACCTGGTCAGAGTAACATTTTATTGTTTTTATCAGTACGAGCTTCCACATCTCACTGGGATTAGCCTGCCTATTATTTAAATTTTTAACAGGAAACAGGTTTAAAATCAATACTGTGATGTTATTTCTTCTTGTTGATTTGAATTTCTGAATCTTGATTAACTGAGATTTCAATTTCAAACCTGATGTGGCTCCAAGTCTGGTGCACAACAGCAAAGTACAGAATGACACCACATTAGAATGAAACATTAGATCGTCTCTGTGGAAAGAGTCTTCTGAGTGAGCTCACATGTGAGGAAGATGTCCTTTATATAGTGAAGCAGGTTAGCAAGGCACGTACAGTTCCCTTTAATCCTCCACGAGCGAGGACAACAGAATAATGCCATCTTGCTCCTGGCGTAGAGTTAAAGTAGATCCAACTCTCAGATCTCTGCTCTCAACGTCCACAGCCTCCCACTCATTTCCACACTCACATTACCATCATGCAAATACACTTAGAAGATATAAAAGTCATTTGGTTAGGGTAAATATTTATATTGATTTACATGTACATTTAAATTCATATACTTTTAACAAATGTTAATTCATTTTGCTGTGTATTTTTCTCTTTCTGCAAGGTGGAAAATCATTTTTTAGACTATATAACACATTATATAATCAACATATTAAAAACAAATCATCAGTCCTTTTTATCATATTTAAAAAACCATCATAAAAATAAGTTCTATGTTTTTCACTCATATTTTACAATATATATCTCTGTCAAAAATCAAACACACACACACACACACGCGCACTCACACACACACACACACACACACACACACACACGCGCACTCACACACACACACACACACGTCCCATTTTCCTTATTGTTGTGGGTCTTCTTGACAAAAAGCTGGCGACAGTCAAACAGGATGTGGAAGCTAATCATGGAGTGCTGGTGTTTATCAGTGTGGAGAAATCTCAGAGTGACAGCCTTGTTGACTTGAACAATTCACATGACGGCAGAGCGGTGTGTGTTGCAGGGCAAACAACAATCTGCTGTACTGTTACAAAGGGCATTTGGAGCAGCCACATTCCAGAGTGGTCTCCATCTCCTCTGAGTACGAGGTGCCATCAGTGCAGCGGAAAACCACCTTTCTTCTTCTGGTTTTAGTGACACCGCAGCAAACGCCAGGGGGCGCTGACGCTTGGCAGGACCGTGGACAATCCACGCGGGGAATCTTGCTGGTGGACGTGCAGGTTCTGAGGGCTTGGTGGCGCTTTAGCTGCTCCCTCACCATTTCCCCCTGACATGTGGGCTCTGTACAGGACAAGTCACATAAATTGAAGTTCACGTTGGGAAATGAATCACATGAAATATGAACGTATCTTTTTTTTTTAAATGGGTTTCTTTTTTGCCACTTAAGTGTGTTTTTAAATGAAAATGTAAAAAAAAACTGTTTTAACCATTTTGCAGAGCATTGCATTGCTTCTGCTCAGAATAAAAGTTACGTCCTTCCGGATGTATTAATTTAAAGCTGTTCTAGAATGAGGAGTTTAACCATTGGAAACTGCTGTTTGTTTATGCTTTATAATGATAAATGAGCTGCACTTGTGTGTGCTTTTAAGAACCAGAGGATTCCAAAGCACTTTGAATTACTGTTCATCCATTCCCATGCTGATGATGATGAGCTACATCACAGCCACATCTACACTGGAATATGAAACTATAGCCTTTTTTTAGAAATCTATGCCACCAATTTGCCACAATGCAGAGGAAGTATCAGGGAGCCTATAGTCATTTTTAAGTGGTCAGAGCGTGGCGGTGATGTAGTGCAACAGTGTTCTTTTAAAAGATTTCACATTGGTGGTATAAAGGAGGTATGGGGGCTCGGAGTTAACTTGGAGCTCGGCAGCAATGCCCCATGTGATCATGACACGTCCCTCTGTTGCGCCAAGGCGTGATATGCATTCACCCTCTGGTGTTGTGGTAATATTACTACCAAGTGTGGCGGCACGAATGCGGCAAAATTCTTGCATTGCCATGCAGCCACAGTGCGTTGTTAAGACACACCGTGGTGGCAGTATTACGCTGATTTGCTGGCATGGTGTGTCTTCTAAAAAGGGCTACTGTTGGGGCTCACCCTAATAAATGGGCAAATGAATAAAGACTGGCTTTCCCAGCCTACTTGGCCAGGAAATGAATATTAAATTAATTGAATGCTGATTGGATAGTTTATCCTTATGATTATCTGAGGCTAGGCAGTCTCTCTCTCTGTGTGTGTGTGTGTGTGTGTGTGTGTGTCTGTCTGTCTGGATAATACTGTAGTCAATGAAACTTTTATAGAAAAACACCTATATAAAAAAATCTGAAAATCCATTATTTTAAAATCTTTTCAATCTCACCTGTGTCACAGGTTGGTCCAGTGTAGCCTGGTTGACACTTGCAGACCGGTTCTCCAGCCTCTGACACATGACACTCCCCTCGTCCACAGCTGTGCCCCCTACAGGCTGGAGGCTCCTGCTCTTTATCACAGTACTGACCCTGGTAGCCCTCATTACATTGACAACTATAGGATTGACCTTTTGCCACACACAAACCATGAACACACCTGTAACAGAAGAAGGTAGAAAGGAAAGATGATGGTTGTGTTTGGTTTATTAATTTTTGCTTGAATACTAATTGAGTGATTTGGGAAGAATAGGCGAGTCATTACAAAATCCTAAGTAATCTAAGGCTTTGGAAATTTTCAAAAATTAAGCATAAAGTATTCATCTGTGTGAGTCTAAACTGTCCTGGCTCACCTGTTATTCTGACAGGGATTAGGAGCTGTTGTTTCATCACATAGAGCCCCACTGCGTCCTGGAGGACATTCGCAAGTGACCCCCATCTCCCCTGCCTCTCTGCAGGTGCCCTGTGCACACACACTACAGGAATGACATCCTACAAGAATGCCATCACCCTGGTGAAAGTGCAAAAAAGAGAGACAAATGTCAGAATGATTTAGGTTTGAACTGATAAACATATTTCTGTTGTTTCACTACAAAATGGTAAATGGCAAATAGCCTGTATTTGATATAGCATCTTCTAGAGTCCTGGAGCCCCTCAAGGTGCTTTACAACACAATCAGTCATTCACCTATTCACACACACATTCACACACTGGTGGGGATGAGCTACAATGCAGCCACAGCTGCCCTGGGGCGCACTGACAGAGGCGAGGCTGCCGAGCACTGGCACCATTGGTCCCTCCAACCACCACCAGCAGGCAGCGTGGGTTAAGTGTCTTGCCCAAGGACACAACGACAGCGACAGACTGAGCGGGGCTCGAACCTGCAACCTTCCGATAACGGGGCGAGCACTTAACTCCTGTGCCACCGTTGTGAAACGGAATTTTACACATAACTTAACTAGAAAATGTCAATGACCTTGACAAACCTCAATTATTGTACAAACTCTTTGTGACAATGCACTGAACATTTATTCAGTCTATAGTACAAATTGCCCTTTTAACATGCATCTACCTTGCTTTCAACTCCTTGCGACTGCCCTCTTCCTGTTGATCTAAAACTCAGGTCTTGAGTGTCTCCGTTGATCCGGACATTATTAATGCAGCCATCAAAAGTCTGAGGTGAGCGCTCAGGGCCTGGCCGCAGACCTGATGCCACCACCTGTGGTGGTACACCTATAGGGAAAAGGTTCAATGAATTGAATGAATGCAAACACAATAAAAGGAAATGGGAGTTCAATTAAAATGTGAGAAAAAAAGGAATAGAGACACAGTATAGCTTATGATCAGTGTGACTGGACTTGACTACTACTGCCCGATCTGGTTCTTGAATGTCTTGTACAGATAAATTACATGTTGAAGCAGAAGCAGGGAACTGTAGCTTGTACTATTTCCCAATATTTCCTTTCCTCTTTAGCTATCAAAAGAAAGTGTTCTCAGCTGCATGTCTTGCTCCTATTTTGAGGAATAGTGGAACAAAATCACATTTCCACTTCCACACCACAACTCTGGCTGGGATTTAGTGTATTGCATGCCATGTTGTGTATATATATGCATACCCGTCTATGGTAAACATGTGACGAAAACCACATAAAGGCAGTGACAAGCAGGAAAATGTAGCATCTGTGTGCTTGGAACTTGAAAATATGTATAAATGTATCAGTGTGTGCATACCCCCTATGTAAAGCTGAGTGTTGTGGTCCATGGAGGGCTGGCGTGCTAGTTTGCCCAGGCTCTTTGGGGCGCCGTTATCCACCACCAGGCTCAGCGAGCGGTTCTGAATCAACAGCTCAACTGTGTGGAAAAGTCCGTCGTTAACTGACTCGACGCTGCAACAAAACGAAGATAAGAGGGAGAGGTTTTCAGTGTGTTGCTGACTGTGACAAATTACTGCTAAACTGTTTACCAGACAGGAGGGCGATAAAAGGAAGAAAAAAAAAAACCAAACGCCCAACATGCTCAAGTCAAACCTTCAGTTCTTTCAACTTGGTTTTGTTGTGTTTGCAAATCAACCAAACCCAAATGAAACAAAATGAGAGAAATCTGTGTTGAAATGTCGTTCTCAGACATGAAACAACCTGATTACATTCTCAATGCAGAGTTCTCTGGTAGGAGATTAAACTGTGCCCTTGATCTAGGTTATGGTTTTGTAATGCAGGGTTGAGGCCCAGAATGGGACCAGCAGCAGCACATGGGCTTGTTTATACTGATGAGTTTAAGCTTTGGGTGAATTCAGATTTAAACAACTTAAAGGCTGGACTCAATCAGTTGGGATCGCTGTGGTAAAGAAAGAAGCCTTTTGACGATAACTGATATTTTGTTGGAGAAATAAATGGTTCCAGTGAAGAGGAGTCAGCAGTGAGCTGGGACCGTATGACCTTATGCACCATGTTTGACCTTGGAAAGCATGTGTGTTTGTATGAGTGTGTGTGTGTCTGAGATTCCCTTCTAAGTGGTTTATGCTGGAGGGAGGACAGACAGCGATAGAGACAGTGGTTTGGCAAAGCCAAAAGAAGAGGGGGAGAGCAAGAATGGGAGAGGGAGTGAGAGGTAGCTGGTGGGGTGGTAAAGTCGACTATGCCTCCGATCACCCGGTTTCTTGCAGAACATCAAAACCAGAACAGAACAAGTGGAGTTACTCCTTCTGTTGGTGGTCTGCTGCAAGCTCCCACCACTAAACATGAAGACAATACTTCCCTTTGTCTGCAGCCACACACGTGTAGCGTGTAGGATAACTGGCTAAAGAGCCCAACGTCAGCTGGAATGACAGCTGTTTATTACAGGGCTGTTACATTAACAGAAAGTGAAGAAGGGTTTTGTCTTATGGAAGACTGACAGTGTGACTTGTATAGAACATGCGGAATGTTCTCAAAGGAACAAAAATCTGGAGAAAACAGAGAGTACCATGTTATACTTTTCATCAGACCTTCATAACTTGACACATAATTGTGCAATCTGGATGAATATGAACAAAAACATAGTTGATGTGACTGTAGCTTAGCATGTAGCCAGTAGCCTAAGACATGCCTTTTCCTGAAGACCCATCACAGACACATTCATGGTTTCTATTTGCAGCCATCTAATTTAATAATGGTCTGAAACAGCCCCCATGCAACCAAGCAAGATGGTCCAGTCGCCTGAAAGATTTCTATTCTACCTCACTGCCCTTTTTGTCTTACCTTTATTCTCGGTTCCCCATTTTGTTTTGCTTTATTCCACACAATGTTACAACCCTTCTTATTTGTTTGACATTTTTAATATTTTCTTGAGGTCATCTTCCTCATCCACAATTCCTCAATGTCTTTCTTTTGTACTCTCCAATACAATTCTCTCTCCTATGTTTGTTTCCAAGTCATGTCTGCTGTCAACTTTCTTCTCAGATGTGTTTACTTTTGTCCTCAAAATGCCCCCCCCATTAGCTGATCAGAGTGTGACACTTTGAGTCTATAATATTGAACCTTTCACAATGTTCTGGTTGTCTGGGATTTTGAATGTTGGGTTTTCATAAGCTGTAGTCCATAATCATCACAGTTATAACAAATAAAGGCTGAAATATCTGGTTTTGTGTGGAATGAGTCTGTTTCATAGATTCGTTTCACATTTTAAGTAGAATTACTGAAATAAATGAACTTTTGCACCATACTCTATTTTTCAAGTGTCACTTGTAAGAATTGGACACCAAAGTTGCTTTGAAAGAAACACTCCACTGGGTGGCAGTAGGTGAATTTTGTGTCTAAGATCAAAAACCTGAAAGCCCAGCAGGTGTAAGAGGATGCATAAAAAAAGCAATGGTGTTCCTAAATACTGTTGTGATGTGATAACTCTAACTTGGTGAATAATTTTTTTATCCTATTTCAAGAAAATTTTAATCATTCCTTGAAAAAAAAGACTCATTTTAGTGAATTCTCAAAATTAACCCATTTTATATTTTGCTAGACCTTTAATTTTGTGTGTGCATATGTGCTCTAACATATGGTAGATGATCTGAAATTGGCTGTGTTGGTCACATCTACAATAATGAAATTCAACAATAAAACCAATGTGACTGTGCAAACCAAACAATATGTTTGCACAATCCCACAAGCTTTATCAGTTCAGTCTATAGATCTGAACATAAACCGAGATGAACTTCATCTAAAAATGCATCTAAAATTAGCATAAATGCACCCCATGAATGAGAGGTAAATGGTATGATTCCACATTCAAAAAAAAAGTATATATATATATATATATATATATATATATATATACAACAACTGTGTGTGTTAACTATGTTAATAAATAGTGTGTTGGGTTATATAAATTGCTTTAAGAGCTATTTATATTATTAACACCGCTTGTGACCAATAAGCTGTGATACTCTATTTAAATATAGAATATCACCTTGCTTGGTCTTTATTTGTTTAGTCAGAAGAGGGAAAATAATGTAGGTTGTGTCATAGCCAGGATAAGTTGACCTGGCTGTGGATTTGACCTGTGGGTCTCGAAATCAGGCCATTTTGTGACGTTACACAGTTCTACTACTGTCATATGTAATTATGTAAAATGGCCATTTTCCCACAGTGTTTTCTTACCTTTGTGTATGCTTTTGTGTAATCAGGTCTATGAGCAAAACACTTACAATAGAAATGCATGTAGGTGATTATATTTATTTTGCAGGGGTTTGCTTGTTTATGGGAGGCTAAATGTGAACATGTGAATGCTTGTGTGTGTATGTTTGCCAATCAAACTGCCTAATTAGATCAGAACAATGGTTAGAAGAGTAGAAGGGCATCACAGATCCATATTACAGCTGTAGCCTCAAGCAAGAAAGATCTCATTGACTTTTTCTCATCCTTTCTCTTTTTCTTTTTACCTTTTGTTTAACCAGTTTAGCCCTTTCAGATCACATTTATGGTTTATTAAGTTTTCTTTATTGTTGTACCAGGTTTCAATAATATTACATAGAAAAATAAAACAATGTCTCAATTGACTTAGAACATTTATTAATATGGTACCATTCAAATGGTCTATTTTAACCACAAACACTGGTTCATTAAAGCCAGATGCAGGTCAAACATTCAGTCCTTTTATTTGTCTAAATCTTGGCACAGATTGTTCGGAAGACGAGATTCTGAATAGTAGCTGAATAAAATGTTTTCAACAATTGTCACAGATTAAATAAATACAGGTTTTCTGACTTCTTTCATATATTATTTTTTTTTCTAGAAGCTACACAAACTGTGAAAAGTAGGATTTCAAACCTCCAACCCCTACACTCCCACTGTCAGGATTATTTTCACGTCAGGTTTCCAGCAGAAATCCCATAAACTGAACTCTCTGTAGGAAAGCTGCTTAGCAAAGTGTTATCAACCTTTTATGAGAACTTTCAGCCATTACCCTTCACACATTGCCTTTGAAGCTGGGAGTAGTTCACTTCTCTGCCAGACTGTCTGATTATATTACAACTGTTTAGCAAAATCTTTTAATTTATGAATCTTTTTGTTCAATTTTGGACAAATAAGACAACCAAGAGAGAACACCTGTCCTGCTGCTGGTGGCATCTGGCCATCTTGTTTCCCTTTCTTAAATCATCTTTTCCTCCCTACATCCTCCGTAACACCCCTTTCTAGATCATTTTCACTTTCCTACTATTCAACCATCCATCATCGCCTTCCTCCACCCATCCTCTGTCTTTCCTCCTTCTCCTCTTTGTCCACTCATCCATCCCCTCATCCTTGTCTTTTGCTGCCTTTGTCTTTCTTTTCCCCTCATCTTCATGTACCAATCTATCCTGCTTCCCTCCGTCTGTCATTTGCTGATGAATAACAGAAGATGTGCTCTCTTTGACCTGATGGGAGATTAGTGTGACATTTAGTAAAGGGCACCACATTAATACTCAACAAACACCCACATCACCTGCCTCTTCGCCACACACACAAACATGCACATGTGCACATGTCTGCCTGCCCCCCACCACACACGCGCACACACACACTCACACACACACACACACACACAGCAGTCATTTAAGGCAAGGCATGCATAACCTTCTTCATCTTTTGCTAATGAGGGCACAATGAAGACCCTTGTCTTCTCTCTTCAGCAACCACTGTGGCCTTTTCTATGTATGTTTTGTGTATGTTAATATTGACATTATATATATACACACACACACACACACACACACACACACACACACACACACACACACACACACATATATATATATATATATATATATATATATATGTATATATACAGTTGTGGTCAGAAGTTTACATACACTTGTAAAAAATATAATATAATGGCTCTACTGAGTGTCCCGTTATTTCTAAAACTCTGATTTTTCTCTGATAGAGTGATTGGAACAGATACTTCTTTGTCACAAAAAACATTCATGAAGTTTGGTTCTTTAATATCTTTATTATGGGTTAACAGAGAAAAGTGATCACATTTGCTGGGTCACAAATATACATACAGCAGTGCTAATATTTGGTTACATGTCCCTTAGCCATTTTCACTTCAATCAGGCGCTTTTGGTAGCCATCCACAAGCTTCTGGCAAGCTTCTGGTTGAATCTTTGACCACTCCTCTTGACAGAATTGGTGAAGTTCAGTTAAATTTGATGGCTTTCTGACATGGACTTGTTTCTTCAGCACTGTCCACATGTTTTCAATGGGGTTTAAGTCAGGACTTTGGGAAGGCCATTCTAAAACCCTTATTCTAGCCTGATTTAGCCATGCCTTTACCACTTTTGATGTGTGTTTGGGGTCATTGTCCTGTTGGAACACCCAACTGCGCCCAAGACCCAACCTTCGTGCTGATGATTTTAGGTTATGTTGAAGAA